AACATTCCAAGTATAACATGACACGGGTCCTAAACTACCCGGACAATAGTATAATAGTAGCTATGCACGAAATCTCGTCACCTCGTATGTACGTAGCCCCCACAATTAAGTACAAATATTTATTTAATTCACCTATAGGGTTTATTCCCTCTTACAAGGTAAGAAAGGAGACTTACCTCGCTCCGATATTTCATAACCGGCTCACAAGCCATTCAATCAACTCAAATCAATGTCCAACGCTCCAAAACTAGTCAATAAGTAAGCAAATCCGTAAATATATACTCTAATACTCATTATAATCCTATTTACGAAAATTTCCCACTCCGTTTGAAAAATCGATAAAATCACCATTGGGCCCACGTGTCCGGATTCCAAAAATTTTCGAAGATAAAGTTTACCCATAGCCTCACGAACTCAAATATATAATTTTATGTCCGATTCTATACTCAAATTCGTGGTAAAAATTAAAAAATACCAAATTTTAGGTTTTCAACCAAAATCCCACAATTTTTACTAATTTCCATGTTTAACTTCATATATAAACCAAGTATTTAACATAATAATAAGGGGGGATCACTTACCTTGAGTTGCTTGCTGAAACTCTCCCCTTGAAGCTCTTCAAAATCGCCCAAACCAAATGAAAATGGGAGGAAAATGGTCAAAATCCCGCTTAAAAGCATTCTGCCCAGCCCGACCTTCGCACATGCGGTCTAATAGCCACTCCTGCGGCTTCGCAGGTGCGGTCCAAATTACGCTCTTGCGGTCCTCAATGCCAAGCCAAGATCTCGCACTTGCAGAAATTTCTTCGCTTATGCGAGCTTTGCAGGTGCGACCTACTATGCGCATCTGCGCAAAGTTTACGCACCAGCGGTGGCTGCCTCGCGCCTGCGCACACGCAAGTGCATTTCTCCAGTTCGCTTCTGCGACTCCCCCAGCTCCAGTCCCTTCTCGCTTCTGCGAGCAATTTGCCGCACCCGCGATCTCTCACTTGCGGCTAAAGTCACACAGGTGCGATTACACCAGAAGCATTAAGCTTCAGAAATTCTTAAGTCCAAAAATCGATCCGTTAACCTTCCGAAATCCACCCGAGACCCTCGGGACCTCAACCAAATATACCAACACGTTACGAACTTAGTCGAGCCTTCAAATCACATCAAACAACGTCGAATTCATGAATCACACCCCATTCCAAGCTTAGTGAAATTTAGAATTTCAACTTCTATATTCGATGCCGAAACCTATCAAATCACGTCCAATTGACCTCAAAATTTGCACACAAGTCATAATTGACATTACAGACCTACTTCAACTGCCGGAATCGGAATCCGACCCCGATAGCAAAAAGTTCACTTCCGATCAAACTTCTCAAAAACCTTCAAATTTCTAACTTTAGCCAAATGACTCCAAAATGACCTACGGACCTCCACATCTACTTCCGGACGCGCTCCTAATACCGGAATCACCATATGGAGCTATTCCCAAACTCGGATTTCCAAACGGACATTGATAACATTGAAATGTACTTCAACCCAAATTTATGGAATCCTTCCAAAATGCTAACTTCCACAATATGTGCCGAAACGCTCCTGGGGCATCCAAAACCCGATCCGAACATACGCCCAAGTCTAAAATCATCATACGAACCTGCTGGAACCTTCAAATTCCGATTCCGAGGCCGTTTACTCTAAAATCTAATCTTAATCAATTCTTCCAACTTAAAGCTTTTGAAATGAGAATTTTCTTTCCAAATCAACTCTGAACTTCCGAAATTTCAATTTCGATCACGCGTACAAGTCATAATACCTGAATCAAAGCTGCTCATGGCCTCAAACCGTCGAATGATACGCTAGAGCTCAAAACGACCGGTCGGATCGTTACACTACCTACCAAATAAAATAGCCAACCAATCAAACGCCTAATTCACCATCCACAATCAAACACCTAATATCACAACAAACCAAACCAAACACCTAATATCACAACCAAATAACATTCAATTATTAAAATACTAAGTCATATTTCTATTTTAATTTTACATACTAACCAAATCATAATCATGTCTAGAACATGACTGTCTAAAACATAACATGATTATTCAAGTATAAAAACATAAATATTCCAATACAAGTCTATATATTATAACCATGTCATAACATACAACTCAAATAGCTACTCATATTCAGACTGAGTCTCCTCGTCACGATCAGATTCTGCAAACATTCCATCAAACATTCTCAGTGGCATTTTCAAGCTTCTCACTGTCGTTGGGGTTTAACCAATCCATGCTTCTCTAACTGTTAGGTGGTTGTTCTGATTTTCTTACCATATTTAGTTTTCCTATCTATTGAAGGAAAGGGCAACATATTTACCATAATTGGGGTTTTCTTTCCTTATAAGGAAATTATAAATCTCCCATATTTGGCTAGTCCCTTTTTCTTGTAGGAAAATGTTTGGACTTCTATAAATTGAGGATCATTTCTTTATCATTCAGTAGCATCCACAATGTTGCCATATGGGGTTTGAGAGTCTTGTTTAGGGGGAGAACTTTACGGGACACGTGTTAGTGTGTCACTTGTGTTTGCCTCTTCGTGAGGTTGTTCTTTCGATATTTTGTACTCTCTTTTATATAGTGAATTGCTCATCTCCGCCGTGGACGTAAGTAAATTGACCGAATCACGTTAAATATTTGTGTCTCTTTTGGTATATTTCTCTTATGTTGTCTCATTTATCACCGTTCAAGGTTTGCTTACTAGCTTCCGCATGACACCTGATTATTTCGATCCTAACACTAATTTCTCAGACAACTTGCTACAAACCTGTCATGATCGGAAATATTCACTCTTTATGCTACTGAAGATAGATTTCGGACAATTTAATCTACTACAAAAAGATGCAACAAAAGAAAGACCTATATAGAGGAGTCTAACAACCACTATAATAATGCTGATATATTGAATTTGTGGACTCGCTCTTGAAAGTTCTTATACGTATAATACTCTTAGAGGTATTTGATTTGCTTGTAAAAATAAAAGACTTTTGAACTTGTATATTTTGTGTGCCTATAATTAATTACATAAAGATAAATTATTTTTAAATATGAAAAAAGGGTTATTCTTTTTTACATAAACTAAAAAAAGATGGGAGAGAATAATATATACTAGGAGTTATACTAATCCACAAATTCTAGCACGGGCCTACAACCACTGGTATATACATATATACCAACTTTTTCTGCTGGCATGAAACATAGAACATATAGAAAGATTACCCATTTTCACGTAATACGTTGAGAAAAACGCCATCGCCATCCAAATGGCACCTAATTAGCACGTAGGATTAAGTCAGCTTTCACATCCATTTCAAGTTTTCAATGAAGTTGGACGTTACCTTTCAACTCATTGACAAATAAAGAAAACCAATTTGATATTTTGTAGAGAAGCTTTGTTTATTTTATTTCCCTTTGCGTGCCAGAGATCGAAAGAGGCAAGTTTCATGCAAATAGAAGTCAAAGAATGATCAAAATAAAATCTTATCGTTGAAAACAAGTCAAGCAGAATGAAAATGGGGGAAAAGGAGTAGGTAACACAATAAAAAGCATGGAAATAAGCACAATATGAAATCAAATAAAATGAAAAAAACAAAAAGGTCAATGAGAAAGGATTCATATTTTGTGTAGTGAAATCAACAATAACTTTTACACTAATATATTTTATCTTGTCATTATAAATTATTTGTCTTATTTTTTTATATTACTAGATATCTTATTATGTCAATAATCAATAATTTTTGCTTAGATCCTATTTTGTATTAGAAAATCCAGTAAATATACCTAAATATTTAACTGCATTTACACTATCAATATATTTTAACTTGTTATTATAAATTATCTGTCTTATTTTTATATTACTAGATATCTTATTATGTCAATAATAATCAATAATTTTTGCTTAGATTTTATTTTGAATTGAAAAATCCTGTAAATATTTAAATATTTAACTGAGAACCCAATAATTAAGACGAACTATGAATTTGTGGTCAAATTCAAAATCCATAGACTTCAAATTTTGATATCGTCTATGAATTCTTTCACATAATCTAATGTGTAAAGTTAATTTATTATATATAAATCAAAATCATAAAGAAATATGTTATTTATTGGAACAAAAAAAAAAGGCTACTTTCGTCCCGAAACGAATGAAAGGGTCTAAAACGCCATGATTAACACATCTAATTGTTGACATGAATTAAACATGACGGTGTACCTTTTGCAAGGAAATGGAAACAACGACTTAAGTGTACTTGTAATCTCCTAGTTCTTCTTATTTGACTCTAAATCGATCGATTTAATCATGAACAGGTTGAAGAGAACTCTAACAGGCTTTGAAGTACCGAACCCATGTATGTGGCAAAATACGGGGATTATTTGCGGCTAGGAGTGAAAGGCCAACCAAGATCGGATATAGCTAGTTGTCCGCGAAATCTATTTCAATAAATTTTAAAAAAAAATCGACATACTCAAGAACTACATAAAGAATGTTTTAAATTACAAAATTCTATAATTAAATTTTCTTAATAAATGTTTAACGAAACTACTGTTAATCTTTTTTTTCAACTCTCCAAACATTAGTAAATTTCATCATTTTTGAACTAAAAGTAGTAGTAATAATTAAAGAACTTGCCATAAAATGAAACTACTTATTAGGTCGCGAGGATCTGGGGATAATCGTTATCACTTATCAATACTTAAGATCGTAATAATCGTTCACAACAACTATTTCCTTAATTATTACAACTAATCCAATTTTAAACAAATCTCATTGTTTGGTCGGAGATTTCCCCAGAACTACTATCGGATATTCCCAGAAAATCCTACGTGTCAGTTACCATCCTTTACCATAATCTCGAAATTTTACCGGTATATCCAGTCAACTAGTCCTTTTGACCTTCATTTCCCGGTTTAATTTATTACAATGTTCTAACATATAAAATAGTCCTATTGTGACCCTCAAAAGTCATGTTCAACTCATTTGGTTAGTTTCATGGTTGTTGCCTTCTCGGAAACTGTAGTTTTTTAGATCTCACTGAAGTTCGCCGCCGACACCTTTGAGGTTGTTATTACAAGTTCTTACAATATTGCTTTGTTCAATCTATGTTCCTTATTTTCATTTTCTGTTTATTTCGATAATATTATAGTTTCTGCAAGTTAAATTTGCATTAATTAAGATTTTGAGAATTTCAGTAGGCGTTTGTCTCGGCCGGCTTGAGTAAGTTGCTTGATTGACTTCATAATTATCAAAATATGAACAATATAGGAAAAACATAAATAAATTGATAAAGGAAAAAAGATCTAACAGTAGTTTGAGTTGATTGTTTGATTAAGTTAATGATTATGACTAATTACTCCTAGTATGTACAATGAACTTGCTCTAGTTTTGTTCAGTTGACCTAGTTTCTCGGGAATATCGTTTGTAGGCTATAGCAAAAATTAGCAGAATGTTGATACCTAGTTGATGTTTCCTGTGATCTGTTGCACATTTTAATTCAATATATTCCTATTCTCAGAGACATTAATTGCTCTTTACATCTCGATTGTGAAGCTTCTGTTAGGTAGTAGTCTTAAAAGTTTACTTATTTCGTTGGTGATATGCAGATCTTTGGATTCAATATTTTCTTGTTGTGTAATATCTTGGGGACTTTTGAAAGTGTCCAAAGATGCCTAGCACTGCGGATGTGTCTCAAAATGGAAATGCAAGACATGTCGAAGCTGCTCCATCCTTGTTTGAAATCGAGGATGATTTGTCTAGGTTGCTGGAAAGACCAAGGCATGTTAATATAGAAAGGAAGAGGTCGTTTGATGAAAGATCTTTCAGCGAAATGTCGATGACTCATTCACCGCCACGCCAGCCATACAAAAATTCGGAGAACTCTTCTCGTGTTTTTGACAATATGGTTGGAGTGTATTCACCAGGAAGGTGGTCTGGCATACACACACCTAGATCAACGTTTGGCTTTGAGCCGCATCCTATAATAGGTGAAGCTTGGGAAGCTTTGAGGCGTTCTATTGTTAATTTCCGCGATCAACCTGTGGGAACTATTGCTGCTATAGATAATTCTGCTGAGGAACTTAACTATGATCAGGTACATTCCTTATCATTCTAGTTCTTGGGTTGATGCTAGCCTGTCTTTATGTTTTCCTTGCCATTTAATATCCCGTTAAGCAGGTTAGTTATGTGCTTCAATGGAACTTCTTTTGACAAATGTCCTTTGAAAAGTAGTACCAGATGTTTCCTTACGTAATAAATAGGAAATGTTGGATCGATATGTCCACATGCCATAGTTATCAGTTATAAATTGAATGGTTTATGGATGTATGATAAGCGGAAGTGGGTTGGACTGCGCAAAACCAGCTAGTTTAATGAATGTGAGCTGGTCTTGGCTGACGACCAACATATGTAGAACTAGTGATTTATCATTTGGTCCAGAAAAAGAAAAGTGAAGTGGCCGCTAACTCTCATGTTATCATTGATGTGAAATATACGCCAATGTCGATCAAACAATTACCTGCTCATCAATCCCAAACTAGTTGGCTATATAAATCCTCTATACCGATGTCGTTCAGCTCAGTCCATTTGTTTCCAAGGCATATTAAGGCTTCTCTAGATCTAATACTTATCCCTATGCAGACCTACAAGTCTTTAATTAGTATATAAGAACTCTTAGCAAACATCAGACCTAATGTGAGTGTAACAAGAACAACTAAGTCTCAAAACCAGCTATTTCGTATCACTAATATGAATCCCTTGCTTCCAATGGGCTCTGTACTTATTTAAGTCGCATTGGTTGATCGTACAACTTTTAAGATGACTTCTACCATGTTGTATTAGGTCTACCTCATTCTCTTTTAGTAGCTTTGATCATCGTAGTATTGCACGTAAGCACTTGTATATTTGGAGGTCTATGTAGAACGCTGTGATCCTTTATATGTTCTACTTGCACGCTGTGATCCTTTATATGTACTACTTGCACGCTGTGATCCTTTATATGTACTACTTGCACGCTGTGATCATTTCTTATCTTGCCTCTTTTTATAACCATACATCCATACATCCATCTTAACATCTTCATTTTCCTGATGGCTTGAGCAATATGAATGTATAAAAGTTTGATGCTGAAGTTCATCCTATATAAGTAATGATCGTAATTTAACATTTGACTTGGCAGGTTTTTGTCAGAGATTTTGTCCCTAGCGCTTTGGCATTCTTGATGAATGGTGAACCTGAAATAGTAAAAAACTTTCTTTTGAAAACCTTGCGCCTCCAATCTCGGGAGAAGAAGATAGACCAGTTCAAGCTAGGTGCTGGAGTCATGCCTGCAAGTTTTAAAGTACTTCACGACCCTGTTAGGAACTATGAGACTATAACTGCAGATTTTGGTGAAAGTGCTATCGGTAGAGTTGCTCCTGTGGATTCAGGCTTCTGGTGGATTATACTACTTCGTGCCTACACAAAGTCTACAGGGGACACTTCTTTGGCTGAGATGCCTGAATGCCAAAGGGGTATAAGGTTGATTCTTGAATTATGTCTTTCAGAAGGTTTTGATACATTCCCAACCCTGCTGTGCGCTGATGGATGCTCTATGATTGATCGCAGAATGGTCAGTCTGATTTACTCTCCTTTCTTTATTGTTTTTTACAAGATCTGAATTAAGGGTCATGTCTTATATTCTGTTTATTAGATATGATCTGTGCTTTGTATGTCAAAGAGATGCTGATATCTATCAAATGTTAATCTTAGAATTGCATTATTTAGCAAACGCATATATATAGAACCTGTCAAAATTCGGACCCAGTAAGCCCGCAGACTTATTACATGCTTGATTTTCTACTTCTTGTTATATGATGCCGGTGATTTTCTCTTCTTCTTAGCCCGCAGACTTATTACATGCTTGATTTTCTACTTTTTTCGTCCTTTTATTTTCCTCTTCTCCCTTTTTTCCATTTTCATCATCGCTGCTGTTTCTGGCTGTAAAAAATATTATTGCTCGTTGTAAACGGCAAAGCCCCACTTTTGACTTAGGCTAATTTAGGCTTCAAACAAGACTTCAGCTGAGATTCTCACATCCTTTGCTAGAATAGAAACAATGGAAGAGCAAAGGTGTATGTTAAGAAATAGGTTCAATGTGTTCTCTTCCTGCTAAAAGGGCTTTATCAGTTGTTCTCATGTTATAATAACAGTTCTTATCTATTTCATTTTCTATGGAGGCAGTCATGCTTGTTGCAATCTCTAAATTGTTGGCGTGCAATTTAAGCCAAACAAGGAGGCGTAACTGATTCCTTAAGTTGCCATTTGAATATCTGCTTCAGCTTCTTAGAAGTGTCCGAATCTATCTTGATAGTGGCTAAATTATGAAGAAGTTAATCCTCCTCTTACTTGATTAAGCAGTGTTCACTTTACTTCAATAAGGAGACTGCCTTTTTTCTTTTATTTTTCTCCTATTTCAAGTCTTTCATCTTGTACTCCTTCCGCATATTATCTTCTCCTCAGTTCAATGAAACTGACGATGACCACGAGTGAAAAATCTCCATATCGTTTGTATATCATGAATTTTTCAATCATTGCAGTCCAATTTCCTTTTAAATTCCCACTCACTCGATAGACTCGCATGCTTTAAAAACTTTGTTTCATATTTTTGCCAGGGTGTTTATGGTTATCCTATTGAAATACAAGCGCTTTTCTTTATGGCCTTAAGATGCGCCTTGCTTCTCCTTAAACCCGACGAAGAAGGCAGAGAGTGTTGTGATGCAATAATCAAACGCCTTCATGCTTTAAGCTTTCACATGAGAAGTTACTTTTGGTTGGACATAAAGCAGCTGAATGATATATACCGTTACAAAACTGAAGAGTACTCGCACACTGCAGTAAACAAGTTTAATGTGATGCCAGATTCCCTCCCGGAGTGGGTTTTTGATTTCATGCCAAGTCGTGGTGGTTACTTCATCGGAAATGTTAGTCCTGCTCACATGGATTTTCGTTGGTTTTGTTTGGGTAACTGTATTGCAATTTTGTCATCTTTGGCTACACCTGAGCAAGCTTCGGCCATAATGGATCTCGTTGAATCAAGATGGCAAGAGCTAGTAGGAGAAATGCCGTTAAAAATCTGTTATCCCGCTATGGAAGGTCATGAATGGAGGATTGTAACAGGATGCGATCCTAAAAACACTAGTTGGAGTTATCATAACGGTGGAACTTGGCCAGGTTAGATTTTCTTCTCAAGCATTCAACAACCAAAAGTACTTGAATCTATTTAACGTTACTTTCCTATTTCAACCGTGTCATGATGCACAGTGATAGAGATTGCAAGTCTACTTGTTAGGTAGCTTAACAGCTAATTAGCTAATGAATCACAACAATTTCATGCTCTCTCTGTTCCATTTTATGTGACTCTTTCCTTTTAGCGCGTTCCAAAAAGAATGACATCTTTCTATATTAAGAAACAATCTAACTTTTCACTTTCTATTTTACCCTTAATGACGTGATTTTAAGACCATAAGTTCCCAAATTGTTTCCTTCTTTCTTAAACTTCGGTCAAATGCACATACATGAAACAGAGGGAGTACTATTCAGAGGGAGTACTATTCATATTCTCTACTATAAAGGGTAAAGGGTAGTCTGGTGCACAAAGCATCCCATATTCACGTAGGGTTCGGGGAAAGGGTGTGAAGTAGACAGCCTATCCTAATGCAAGCATTAGTGGCTGCTTCCACGGCTCGAACCCATGACCTGTTGGTCACAAGGAGACAACTTTACCGTTGCTCCAAGGCTCCCCATTCTTGTATTTTCTACTTTGATATTTACAATTCAGTGCTATACTGATTTGTGTGGTTTCTTTGTCTAGTTCTTCTATGGCTCCTTACTGCAGCAGCTATCAAGACTGGTAGACCCCAAATAGCACGACGGGCCATTGAACTAGCTGAATCGCGATTGCTAAAAGATAGCTGGCCGGAATATTATGATGGCAAGCTTGGTCGATTTATCGGAAAACAGGCTCGTAAGTTCCAGACATGGTCGATTGCCGGTTACTTGGTAGCTAGAATGATGTTGGAAGATCCATCTCATTTGGGTATGATAGCACTTGAAGAAGATAAACAGATGAAGCCTACCATGAAAAGATCTGCTTCTTGGACGTGTTAATATCCTTGTATACAATTTCTCTACCAAACAAACATGTTTTTTTTCTTGGAATTCTTAATCATTCTCTTTTAGTTTGTCTAAAAAATATCGAATTTTCTTTGAATTGACCACGATATTGTACACATTACTCTGTTTTTTTTCTTTCCGGTTAATCTGGTTTTTTTTCTAAGGATGTCCATTGAATGCCAATAGATGTTTGATGTTAGCTGATCTAAGGAGTTGTTAGGTAACTTCTTTTCCATATCTACCCAGTAATCTAAACAGATTGAAGTTTTAGTTCTATACACCGATAAGATAAAGAATATTTATACTATCAGTATAGTTTAATTTGTGATAACAAGTTTGTCACAAGTTTCATATGATATAGCCCTGAGACGTTCACCGAAACTATCTTTTATTTTATCTTTATATAATCATTTTAGAGCTTTGGATTGATATGTTTCTAGATTAGAAATTACGTTTATTCTTCAGGTTTGATATGTTTCTAGATTAGAAATTACGTTTATTCTTCAGGTTTTACTCTGCTTTTTATTGGTCCTCAACAACTACCTCATTGATATGTTTATTGGGCGAAGCGGTGTCACGTGATACCGCTTCGGAAAATTTTACTAGCAGAAGCTAAAACACGTATAAATTGATTGAAGTGACCCCCGCCGCTTGACAATTGACATAACCAGGTAAGAAGCTCGTTTGGTCAAGCGCCCCAGTTTTCTAGGATATATCGCGTGTTCGAAACTCCGTGGCAGCGTTTTCTGTTTTAAATTTTTGATAATATAAATAAGCATCGTTTACTGTTTTAAATTTTTGTTAATATAAATAAAATACTTTCCAGTTGGGTTTGAACCATTGATATGTAAGTGTTAAACAAAAGAAACCAATGGGTCAAGAACCAAATACATATGTTCCGGTGACAAAAAATTATTTAAAAGCTTCGAGTTCTAAAGGATGTTGATGCTTCCATAAGTTGGTCTGCTAATTTTTTGTTTTTTTCCTTTATTTTCTCCTTGGCGATGATACCGATTAAGAACAATTTCGGTGATTAATTATGAGTTTTTGAGTGATTGTTTGGTGCCTTTTATAGAACAGAAAGTACATTTAGTATATTTCTAGTGAGGTTATTTGGAATACATTTCAAAAAATAAATTTTTTTTGAAGAAGAGTTGTAATATGATTGAGTTGTGCTTTATTCATATACTAGATGGCGGGCCCAATACTGTAAAATTTGAAATCATCATTCACAATTAACTTTGTTATAATAAGAAATTGTGAAAAAGATACAGAGGCATCATTGAAAAGTTGCACACTTTTAACATACATGAGAGTACTATTTGCATATTCTATTTACATATTGATAAAAATGATGCACTCTACTTCGAATGTTGCACAATTTTTACATCGGAGTTCTATTTACATATTAACAAAAGATATTGACATATGTAGAATTATGAAAAAAGATAAGTTTCAGAACCCGTATAACATAATGTATTAATTAATATGACAATATTACTGCCTACCTACCCTTTTAAATCATGTTGTTCAGTCTAGAAATGATATCTTACTACCTGAAAAATCAGGCATTAACCACAAAAAATAATGTATCTGTAGGTACACTAGTCCCTGAAAACAAATTGCTGTGAAATTTGTTAAATTTTTCATAGCTTTCCTGGAGTTGTTTGTAGAAAGCTCCTATTTGGCTTTCACAATTGTTGAAAGACTCCAGGTTGTGAAAGTGATTACTACAATAGATCATTGTAAGTTTTATTGGTAATTGGCATACCTTTTTTCAAGGCATTGTCCTTAATTACCATATATGGTTGTAACTCTGCCTATGAACAAAGGAATCTAATTGTTGAAGAGAAAATTTTAATAAACAAAAAATTCAGGATTTGGTTCAAATAATATCTCCACAAAACTAAGTGAAAGAAAAAACTATCAAAATGTTAAGTTGCCTTGATATTATCGTTATCCCAATGTTCTTCTCAAGCAAATTTTAGAATCAGCTTGACACCCTCTATCCTAGTTAGGCCATTGCAATTTTAACTTCATAATAAAAAAGTTATCAACCTTCTACAAAGTTTTCAACTCTAACAGAAGCAAAGAAGATAAAGAATAATAATATACCAATCCTAACTACTTTTGATGAAACATAATTACACCTCTTGTTATCAAACAAATACTTCTCTGTTTTCAAATGTACCATCAGCCAAATTATTACACAAGAAAATCAAGAAGAGTTACTTTTACCAAAATTGGAGGTTGTAACTATCTCATGTAAATAATGAATAATGACATTATGTGTGTTGAAACTAGGATGCCTCTTATATTTCAAACTTCTCTAGTATTGATTATTACAAATAATTTAAAAAATCCAGTTGGACAAATGTAGAGGTGCACGCCAAAGTTAATTTTATGTAACAAAAGAGTTAACTAAAGAAGATGTAACTGATCAAGATTTTAAAGGCCGCCATGGAAGGCCATTTTCAGGTGGTATTATAAATTCTTTTAATAGGTCGATCATCTTCTTTCCTAATCATCATCTTGTGGCTCCTTATTAGGTTAGAGCACAAGCAATTCAAAGGTATTTCTAGAGACAAATTCAACCTTCCGTATTCATTGACAACTTTAAGTCTTCCCTTGTCTTCAGAGACTGAGTAACACAACTAAAATCCTTCAAGGTAGAACCTATAAACGGGAAGCAAAAAAGAACAGTCAAGTACTAATTTCTAACATGTAAAGAGAAACAACTTATCACAGTAAAAACAAATAAGGCAATGTAGCAGGGGAGAAAAAGCAAACCACTAAATCTACTATAAAAGTGAAACAAAGACAATACTCGAGCAACAAAATTCTCTGAAATCACACCCAAAATATTAGAACTTTGATACAAGAAGATATTAACTTGAAAAAAAGTAAATACTATTGTTCCTAATAGAATATTTTTAAACAATCTTGATTTATTATCATCTCTGACTCTCTAGTATGCAGTTTATGTTTTGTGCTTGATGTTAACCTGTTTGCGAGAAGCGATGAATCTCTTATGATAAGAGAGCTCTGATTGATAGAAACATTGGCAGAATAAGAGCACAAATCATTAGATTATTCAACGTTAATTGAACTATCAGAAAGAAGCCGCATTTTCAATTCAATTCTGCTTCCTCATCTCATGCTAAAGGGCTTTTTTTTTCAGGTGGCGTCAGTGATCAGTCTATTTAATTCACGTCTCCTAACCTTTTTGTCAAATTGTATTTCTTCCAATATTTGCTTATTTTTATGATTTTTATTCGTATTCGATATCTCTGCAGCTATTCACGGAATATTCTTCTAAAGAACAAGTCTTTAGAAAAGAGTAAAGTAAAATTTGAGTTGAGAAGACCAAACAAAAAGGAAACAAAAATTAAATTTAACTGAAATCTTAAGCCAATTGCTTAGACCACAACTTAAAGCAGAAAGTATATTAGTAGATATCCTGCATATGAAAACAAATGGCATGAGATATAAAGAGAAACAAAGGGAACACAAAAAAAAAAACTGAAAATAAAGAGCAGCAACAACAAAGGAGAATCGCAAACAAAATATGAAAAATAAAATAGAATAAATAAATAAAATCAAAAATAGAAGAGACACTAACCTAAATTTGTAATACCCAAAGTAGAAAGGTTTGTAATACCCAAAGTAGAAAGGTTGAAAGAAAGAAGTGAGGAGAAGATTGAAAGAGAAGAAGATGCTGAAGAATAATCGAGAAGCAGTCAATTTTTAGAGAACATGAAATATTAATGGAGTTATTGCTTGAATGAAATGATAGTTTTATCCCTGAGCTAAATTTACAGTTATGCCATTGGTCGATCACACTTGGCTTTTCTATATAATAAAATAATATAAATTTGAGTTATACTTTTTTTCTTTCTTTAATATAGAGATTTGTGTATTTTTCCATTATAAAATGGTGACACCGCTTTCGAAAAGTGATGCATATATCATTAAGGAATTTTCGTGATTAAGGCAATGTTTTTAAGATTTTTATCATTTAGTGATCACAACTTGTTCCCTCTAAATAGAAAATCAAAGATACTTTCATACGCTTGGAACCATTCAAAGTTTTCTTTTTCTTTTTCTATTAAAAGTTTAGACTTGGCCAAACCCATATGCACCCCATTCAACTTGGCTCCATTTTTTATTTTGACATTGAATTTTTACATACCTATACACTATTGGAAACTTTATTACCCTCCCTACTTAAGTTTCAATTTAATTACATCCTATATACAAATTTACCAATTATATATACTTTAGGAATTAAATGAGTATCCCTTTATATTATGAATCAATTATTTCCATCCTTATTCTCTCTCTCTCATGCTCTCTCTCTCTCTCTCTCTCTCTCTCTCTCTCTCTCTCTCTCTCTCT